TATTTCTGGATGGCAGGGGGAGAAACACTGGACTGATTTGGTCCAGAGAGGCTCCGAGAGGAAACATATATGAATGCCATGTTGTTGGAGCGGAATAAGATTTGGATGGGAGACCAAACCCGAGGGCTGTGGGCTACAGCAAGCTTCCCAGAAGACGACAGTGACAAACCCTTTCTGTGTATGTGTGTGTGTATGCGCGTGTATAAAATATGAATTTTAATTATACTAGTAAAATCTAATACAAACTAAACCTGAAGAAAAGAGAATAGAGAGGAGTAAAAAGTGCAAGGAAAAAGAAAGAAAAAAGAGAAGAAAGAGAAAAGAATATAATAAAGAGAAAAGAAATATATAAAGACTTCCAACCTTCATCACAACGAGTATAGACAAATTTAGTGAGTCTTCACCCCTTCTGAGGTTACAAACATTTTCCTCTTCATCCCATATCCCATTTCTTACCTATAAACAAATCTGTAAAACATCATCTTTTCAGGCCTGGTGTCAGCAGAAAGTCCATAAAGGGTTGCCAGAAGGAACAACATATCTTGTTTTAATTTTGATCAAATAGACCAACTGTATATTCCTTCCTTTTACTTCTAACAGTCTGAATCTTCAGTTCATTCAAATGTTGTCGGAGGATTTGATTTCTCTTCATTTCTCCTTTGTCCCATCGCACACAGTTCTTCAAGGCTTTAACAAGCCTCTTTTGTAAATCCAATAGGAAAAAAATTATCCAGGTCACTCTCTTGGTTTGTCACCTGTATTTCCCTTTTAAATGTTAAAACCTCATCCATTTGGTTTTAGCTCAAGTTGGTAACCCCACACTCCTCAACCATGTAGACCACGGCTGGGGATGATTGAGCTCAGGCTGGTAACCCCATGTTCCTCAACCATGTGGACCATGGCTGGGGATGATAGGCATTGTAGTCGAAGGCCCTTAAAGAGGTGGGGGAGGTTGTCTGTGGCAGTCACGTCGTCCGTGTTCTCTTGCAGAAGTGGATTTGCCCCCCTCGGAGGAGCCCTACGATTTTCGTTTTGCAAAATGGATGATTAAGAACAAGGTCAGTGGAGAACGCCAGCTCTGATGGTTCAAGACAGAGAAGGTGGCTTTGATACTTTTCTTTATGATAAGTTGGCAACCCGAGCAGTTCAGATCTAAAACATGCGTCCAGAAGGACTGGAATTGTTCCTCTATTGATGTTTTATTGTGAGGCGGGAGTATTTTTAGGGGTGGGAAGGGGGGTAAGAAGCAGCCAATTTTTCCTTTTTTTCCCCTTTTTTGGAGCAAGGCCAGCCTCCGTGGGGGCGGGGGAGATGGTTTTAAAGCAGTTTCAGGAACTCAGTTTGTCTTGGGAAACTGAGGCACGACTAGTTTGCTCCGGGGACCCTGGGGCAGGCTGAAAGAAATGAAGAAAGAGAGGGAGGAAGGAGGAAGTAAGGAAAATGCATTTTCTTCTCTTTGAACCCTAGTGTCCAAAAGAGGCACGCTGACAGTAAAAGATTAACGCAGATCAAAACGGGAGAGGAATTTTGAGCGAAATAAAACAGAGCTGGAACGTCTCCAGCTCCGGTCACTTTCACATTAATCGTGGCTGGAC